TACAGTTGTATGCAGTAAAATCCTAGAGGCTACTGTCCCTTTAAGTTAAACAAATGCCTCGAAACTGCATTGTCCACAAGTTATCGCAGATTGTCACTCAGTGCGGTAACATGTACACGCTTAGAAAAAAGGGTTCCCTGGTAGAACCTTAAGGGGTTCTTTGGTTTGCCACAGTGGGAGCACCCCTTAAGGTTCCACAATTAAAGAACCCTTTTTATAGGGTTCCACAGAGAACCCCAGATAGGGTTCCTCGAAGAACCCATGATGCTATATAAGGGTTTTTTGGGGAACCTTATGAAGGGTTACATGAAGAACCTCATTGGACAGAAAGGTGCCTTGAAGAACCTTGCCAAAAGGTTCCCAGAAATATTCCTAGCAATGGTGTTGACCCACTGTACCGGTACATAGAAATCCTAAATATATTAGACATAGCGTAATACAATGTATAACTGTTTTATTTATTCCACAATTAGGCTAAATTATATGTAGGCCTACATTTAAACAAATATAAGGTGTGCAGTGTCTTAAAAGTCAAAAACATATTTTACATTGCAAGGCTTCGCTAGGGCTAGGCTTAATCGGATCAATAAAATTCTTAGAGCTTAACACTACAATTGTGTTAATTATAGCATACATTACATTACATACATTTACATTACATTACATTACATTTTTACATTATTAGTGGAAACCAGGAATCCTCACGCGGGGCCAAGCAAAAACTATGGATGTCACATGGCACTGGTGGTGACATGATCCTCAATAATATAGGCAACTAATATTTAAAATTTGATTAATATGACAAACTTCATTAATAACATTTCATTTTAATTGCTTGGATACTGAACAAGTGTCATATGACTAATAATATTTCAATCCAAGAATCTATAGAAATATGTCCTGTATAAAGAGATTAAACCCACAATAAAGTTAAGACTAGTAGAATATAAAACCGTTAAAATTGGAGCACGACGTTTCGATCTCTTACTAGAGATCATCATCAGGTGAGGATGATGATCTCTAGTAAGAGATCGAAACGTCGTGCTCCAATTTTAACGATTTTATATTCTACTAGTCTTAACTTTATTGTGGGTTTAATCTCTTCATCCTCACATCACGTCTTACTGTGATTTTCCAACTCATGTCCTGTATACTTTTTTCATTTGTCAGTCAGCGTAAATTGAAAGGGTTACGATATCCTGGACACTCACTTTGTTTGTAATGATTGGTACAATCGCTGGATCACTGTCGTAACCTTTTCTTCGTTCAGTCCCAAAAGAAAGTGTTCCACAAATACTAAAGTCTTCCGAATATTGGCAGGATACGAAATACCAAACAGGTAAAACACTGACATAAGGCAGCACACTGCCTGGACGATATCAATTGTGTGTTATCTTCGATAAGGGAATCCATCAAGATAGACGAGATGCGCTGTGGTCTAATGGATTTCCCTCACATGCACTTGGATGATTGGGTTGTTAGTGTCGACAACCTGGAAATAGATTCTTTTTATTTACTACATGTAGACATTGGAAACTACAAAACCCAGTAAAATAATAGGTTTGAAATTGACGTTCAAAAGAAAATATACAAGGGTATATTAAAACAATGTCAATGACCTGAAGTGAAACACTTGTCAGTGTAATCAGAAGAAATGATACTAAGCATTCAAAACTGCAAGAGTATAAAAGTTGACCTTATATTACTCCGAGCAGACATGGCAGCCCAAAAACAAACGAGATATGAGTCTCGTCACTGAACCGGGATGGTAACTAGTATATATATGTACATAATGTATTTTACCTGATCAATCGCAATAAAGTTGGCGAGGCTTTCGTGTAGCAGGTTTGGCAACATTAGCAAGGCAGCAGTCAATGACGATTCTGAAAGATAAATAAATTCTGACACATAACTCAACTATGCGTAGTACATGTCACAAGTGGTCTATTGCACACAGTGGTGCAGAGAGAGGGTCTTGATCCCTTATCAAAAGCTCGTAATGTTGTATACACAAATATGCATGTTCCCATATACAGTATGAGAACAGTACTAAGATTCTAGGAAATTATGACAGTTCCACATGATGTTGTCATCATGCATAGACATGACGATTGGAGATGGTTTCGCATACGTCCAGGGTTTTTAAAATTAAATTTTTTCAGGGTTTTTAATTTAAATTTTTTAAACATTTTAGTAATGCATGTACTTTTTTTAGTGGATTCGTCACTTGTCTCTGTCTCTTCTTGTAGCAGCTGTCGGAGCCGTTCACTGTCTGGCTTCGGACAACGTTTGGTTACATTGTCGCAGAGTGGCAAAAGACCGCTTCTGATCGTCCGCTCACAATTTACTCTATATTGCATGTCCATGTCTACCAGAAGCTGTTTAAAATGTATGGAAAATACAATTTAGTGATCAAATATCTAACGAAAATCTTTATTTATATACACATTGTTAAATATATTATAGAGTCGGTCTTAGAAATTATCATCCACTTACATATGTACTTTTCGGGTCAGACGTTTTTGAAGTGCACTACATATCAAGATGCAAATTTAGGTAATAATGGGACGAAATGTCCTGACGAATGGGAAGAGTTTGCGTCAAAATCACATGGCAGAAATGTGTCTAATGGTTGAACGAGTTCAATTTTGACATAAAAGGGACACCGAATACGCATCTTGGATAGGGGGAAGAAACTGTGGAAACTTGACCCCCTGGTCACCAAATATCACTACCACGTTTCATACGGTAACTTGAACAGTCTGAGAAAATATGTGTGATGTTTGAACGAGTATGATTTTGGCATACAAAATGGCCGCCAATCGGGTATCATGGATCGGACACAGAGCAAACTCATCATCAGGCTATAGATGGTCACCCATAGTATTACCACCTATACATCTTATACTGAGTAGGATGTACATAAAATACTTACAAATTTTGGTCTTCGCAGCCAGGGAAATCGCTCGATGACCATTGCCGTTGTAATTGATTTATCCATGTAATAATTGCTGCGGTAAGTAAAAGTCCTCCTTATCTTCTCCCGGACGATGTCCATGTTAGGGCGTAGCTTCACAGTCTCTAAGGCTAATGCCTTGAGATGGAGCAATATTGACCGTTCATCCTCGGCCTCGGTCTCAATTGTCTAGAAACATAGAACAGACATTCCAAATAAAGGGTGAGGGCCAAGAAGTAATGTCACTGTTTGAAAACCAATACAGTACCGGGTATTCCTACTCCATTCACATGGGTTGTAAGAATGAATGAGCTCATCTCGCATCTCTACCACAGACTCCAAACTACAAAGACCATTTTTCAAATGATTGAATAAACTAACCTGACACATCCTCGTTTTTCCTTCTATAGGAGCTGCACTATCTCCTGACAGTGTTCTCTTGGATGGTCGTCCCCTGCCAGGCGAGCCAAACTTTCTTTTCATTTCAACAACTTCTTGTACGGTCGTCAGTGGCCTCCTCTCCTTCTTGCACTTGTTGCGGAGGCATTCCTTAAGACATTTCTGAAAAAAGAAAGTTACTTGTATTTACCAGATTAATATATTATTTTACCCCTTTCTAGTAGTTAGTTAATAAAAACGATATTGGTGCTTATACGGCTATCTTACGCAAAACGGAACTTAGCGCCAGATTTAAATATTGAAATATTAAATAATAGGCTACTGATAAATGTGGAAAATCGTCAAATTAAGCCAACCTGAAATCACTATTGCCACTTCAACAGTAAATTGGCTGGATATAATTCATTATGTCCATGAACACATTATAAATTTTTAATGTTTACTGACTCACCAGATTATCTCCATTCTTGCCATTGAGGAAGGGGTATTTCTTTACAAGAGCTTGTAGTAATCCATCGTAATGACTCGATTTTGGAAATCTGAATGAAAATAAATTAAAGTCTGAGACATATACATTACACAATTATGGACCTCAAGGAGACGTTACAAAGAAATAACTTGAATTTTGTAATGTCAATGCCGGTCAGCAAAAATGGATTCGAATTTTTAAAACTTACAATTCATATTTATCCATTAGGTGTTCCGCTAAAATCGTCACCAGTCTGCTGCGTTTGGCGCTCTTTGTGTTGCTCATGAAATCAGGGTCCTCGGCCTCAAGATGTTTCTGCAGTGAGGCTGGTATGCGTGGAAGGGTTGGCGATGATCCTCGACTAGGACTAGGACTGGCTTCCAGAACGTGTGTGGAGTCGGACTCGTACACAGGTACCAGTTCGTCGTCTATGGTTGCCACAGTCTTTAACCTGAAATAAATGTCTAATTTAACAGAGATCCAGAAACAAGTACTGTACTGTGTAAAATGTTTAGAATTGCGAGAATTGGATTGAAACTTATTACAAGGAATACATACGGTATTGGACATTAATTCCCCTGGCGTACCACATTTTCCTCAGTTGTTTAGAGATTAGCTAATTGTAGAATAGACGAAGATTTCTTAATAGGGCTTATTTTGTGTATCAAATCATTTTTATTTAGGTAGGTCAAGGTCACATATACATGTACAATACTTTAACGCAATAAACTTTCAATCAATTTTGCAATATAATTTCACTCTTAACTAAAGTCCATGAATCAATTCTGCAACATAACATGCAGACGGCCGTTTCGCGGGTTCATGGTTTCTACAAGAGTTGGAAATGCTGATCAACTGACTAATCTGTACTTCATTTACTAACAGTTTATAAATACGCCCAAGTGAATAAATGTCTGTAACTTCAGACTGGGCTTCACCATCACCATTGCGCAACTCAAATGCGATCTGTTTGTGGTTGCTGTTATATGTTTCCTTCTCAGCAGGTGACAAGAAATACATGCGCGGTTTAGATACCATGGTGGCATTTCCAAAATCAATGATTTTTGGTGTCGTATTGGGGCAGATGAGAATATTCTTCGCATGAAGGTCGTTATGTAGAACTCCCTTCATGTGAATATAGACAAGAGCATCAGCTAGACAGAAACTTATATTTAACCATGTGGTTTTTGGGAAGGCATTTCTCTTCACATAGGAATACAGTGTGCAGTCCGTTTTGTCAATCAATTCCATTATGATTGTTCTGTTGCCAATCATGCCATAAAGAAATGGAATAGATTTGTTACTCCCTTGTAAGTGAAGCAAAACTTTTGCTTCGAGCATTAAGTCACCATGTTTAGCTGCTTTAGCTGCCACTGGAAAGCCTCCACCAATCAATTTCAAGGTAACGACAGATACAACCCCATACACCCCAGACCACATACTACTGGTGTTTGGATCTTTTTCAATGGCATGGCTCTCAAGTTTCACTGGCATATTCTCAAGGGATCGAAGGACATTGTTCTGTGCAGCAACACGACTTAATTCGTGACTAGATTTTTCTGTTCTGCCGAAGACAACAGATCGAACAGTCTGATGCTTCGCACTGAAGGGTTTTCGGAAATTGTTCATTTTGGGTACTATTGCAGCAGCTTTCAGTTTGTTTATTGTAATGTCTTTCTGTTGGACGGTATGGTGCAGTTCATGCACTTTAGAATCCAATTCCAGTGCCCTCTTTTTCCTATTCTCCTGGTTTCGCTTATTCAGCTGTCGCTTACGGGTAACTTTGGCACTGGGAACGTGTTTGCTGAAAATCATAGTTTATGGTGTATGATTTCTGTGTATGATAGTGTCCCCACCTTATAAGTCTATGGATTGCTCCATGACGTACTATCCACCTTATAAGTCTATGGATTGCTCCATGACCTAATAAGTAGAATGTACAGACTAATATGAAACCAGGCACCATCATCAAATTAGAGTCAAATGAAATTGGCACAGTGGATAATCTGGATTCATCTTAGATTCATGCATAAACATCAAATAAAACTCACTCTTGCTCCTTGAGTGACGCAACAGCCTTCAAGAATGCCACTTGTTCCTTGAGCCTTGGATAGATGTTCCCCACCATGGTCTCCGTCAATCCAAACAAGGTCTCTCCATCAATTTCATGATCTAAAATTATAAATGTAAAAAGATGTATTATTCGACTAAGCACAAAGATGTAACGTCAGGGTACCCGATTGGCAGAGGGTACCCGATTGGCAGACTCTCAAGAAAAACCTATATTTACTACTCTAAATGGTCATTCATGTAAATTTTTCTATTTAAAAAAAAATTGGATGATAAAGAAGTTAAAAAATGCCCATTTTCTCTGCCAATCGTGTACCCTGACGTTAATTCTAGAAATGAATATAATCTGGAAATGTTTTCATCTTCACAATATTAACCCAGACATGTTTTGGGAGATCAGAAAATCGACAAACCATGTAGGCCTACATACATGGGTATACTTGTTGTGTAGTATTTGGCAAATTAAGGAACACGACGTACATGTATAATGGTCTATGTTTCAGCATGACAATATAATCTCCATCATTGTCCACATATGCATCAAGGATGTTGGTGTCGTGGTGATCTTGTGGCAACAGTTTCAACCATATATCCGTGTTTTTTATCCTATATCCGTGCTCTCCTTCTGTGTATGCTATTGCTCGGAACAGTCTACTGCATAAATGCCACTTTTCTTCGATTTTCAGAATATATACAACTTTCATGAACACCGGTATGCCAGTATCTTGGATGCGCACAACAATGAAGTCTCGCACATGGTATTGCATGTGATTAGCGATGATATTGTTAACCTTGGTGATGTTCTGTAGTTCTAACCCAATCTCCTGCTGCAATCCCATTGGTAACCTCGCAATTGTAAGATCACTCACTGCACCAATAGGTTTGATTGTCTTTCCCAAGTAATCAGATGTATTCAGCTGCCAGCACTGGTACAACTGGTGATGAGAAGCAAGGGTAAGTGCTGGATTCTTGAAATTGTACATATTCCCAGCAATCCTCTTGAAATATTGGTGTTTTGCTTCAAATCGCATGCACCATAACTCCCGCAAAGGTCCAAATTGCTGTATTAGGCGTGGATAGTGCACAAGATAATGAACCTTCGGTGTAAATCTATCGGGATATAGACTGTTGAATTCTGTCAAGAAACCTTTGATCAAAAACTCCAAGTATGGCAAGGAATCTCTCTCAACTGCTGGAGCAAAGATAATCTCCATTATTTCGCATAGCAGTAGAATATGGTTCCAGTGTGCACTATTTTCAGGAATGAAATCTTTCTTAATCAATGGCAACAGTCTAACAAGGCACCACTTCTCTGAAGCCTTTCCCGGAAGTTTCCCATCGCGAAGAATTGTTCCTGGTATAGCCGATGGTATGTTTGACTTGTCATTCTGTCCAAACTGAAAACTGGTGATTTCTGCATTCAATTGGTTCAATGTGAATACATTATCCGACACCATTTTGCATATGACCAGTTTTATAACAAGTGGAACAACTCCTTCAAGAATGTCGTGCATTATGTCTGGAGGAAATCCATCAGTCACTTTAAAGTACCGCAATTCCGCGAATGGACACGGCCCATTCACACCATAAATTGTTGAATTTGCACGATTTTCCAATACTGCTGCCAGATGATAAGTTTGTGTTTCCTCAGTTCGAATGCGCAATGTCGCCTCTGTGGCACTTTCCGATAAACTCCCATGGGCTATCATGCAAAACCGACACACACACCCACTAGAAAACGACCCAGAAAATCCAGCAATACAATGTGCAGATAAGTTGTCCGATGACACAGTAGCCAGTGATCCGTAGACATGCTGTTGCATCTGTTCATCAACATTAAATGTGAGACCCTGGTCTTCCAACAGCTTAAGGTCGCGTATCAATGGCTTCAGAATTTCAGCATATGAATGCTCTGTCACATATTTGTATTTCACCATCAGCAGCAAATGAATAAATTTCAACTGAGAGCGATACTTTGGTTCCAGGTTGCCAAGCGTGAAGTAAAATGCACTCATTTTATGTATTGTCTTCTTCGACCCAAGCGGATTCACTATTTCGAATTCATCTGTATACAAATTTATGAGTAAACTGTTACAGGATTTTGCAAACAACTCGTGTTTTTTGAATATATCACCGTCTTGGTAATCATAAAGTACTCCGTCACTAGGTGGACGCTGCCGGTTGACATTTTCCCACACATCACTGTTGCCCAAGATTCTTTGCAGCAGACTGAGTAAGGGGACGTATTGCATCGTGTGTCTCTCATTACCTGGTAGCACGTATTCCACTGCATCAATCAATCCAAGGTTTTCACTACAATACTTCAGTACCTGGTAGTCTGTAGTAAATGACTGAAAAGCTTCCAGGAACACGTTGTCATTACTGAGAAGTTCCTGCATATCATCATCCTCCTCAATATTTATGTTCCGTTCTCTCAACTTTTGACGTATCGATGTGGTATAATGTTGAGAGAACATTTCAAGAAGAAATTTAATTTCCTCAACAACAGTAGTTTGCACAACTTTAGGTAGAGCATGTTTTTCTTGCAAGTTCAAGAGAAACAAACAGAAATGTTTCTTCAGATCACCAAGTAGTGCATCGACATCTACAACATCTACATATTCTTCATGTCCTACGTCTCCAGCATTGAATTCTAGTTCATCTCTGTCATTGTCATCCATATCGTCCTCATTATTAACTCCTTCAACTTCCATGTCTTCCTCATTTCCTTCTCGAACAGGAAACCTTCGAAAGTCATGTTTTCTATACATATGACTTCTGTATGAGGTGAATTTGTTGAAATGTCGGCCACATCCAGTTATATAGCAAGTCACTCCAAAGTCTGGTTCATGCTGGTGCAACAATCCCAAATGTTCGATAATTTTCGATAATGAAAACTTTTGCACTGGGCATCTTTGGCATCTAAACACCTCCATTTTCCTAGTATTATGCGATATGGCACAAATAGTCACTTACTGATGAAATAGTCCTTAGCTCCATCTAGTTTATTCTTCCCGAGCCATTCAACAACATGTTCAACGGACCATTTTGATGGGATCGTCTAAATAGAAAACAACAACTTTATTAATACTTGAACGAGTTAGATTTCGGCATACAAAATGGCCACCAATCAGCCATCTGGGGGACTGATTAAACAAACTAGGGGTCCATGGGTCCCTGGCCCACTTGCCATTGGGTATTGATTTTTGAAATTGAAACTGCCTAAAATTTCGCACCCTAGTAGATCTCATCACAGGCTACAAGTTTCCAATTCATTATGTAAGTGAATTATTAATAGGAAAGATGATATGATGGAGAATGTCTAGAATTTTCAGATTTTTTTGCAAACTTTCGGCAATTCGAGGCCCCCTGGTGGCGAAACGAAGAAATCAATCGTCCTGAAATTTCGCACCCTAGTAGATCTCATCACAAGCTACAAGTTTGCAATTCATTATGTAAGTGAATTATTAATAGGAAAGATGATATGATGATTTTTCGTTTTTTTGTTGACTAGTTCTCATTTGAACGTAAATGGCCACCTGGTGGCCATCTTGGATTGGATCATCATGAAACTTTTCACAGTGATAGACCTCGTGACGCACTATAATATTGCAATTCATTATGTAACTAAATTATGAACAAGAGAGATTTTTATTCTGACAAAATCGGTCCTTCATAATTTTTTTCAGGTAACATAGTGGTACATCTTCATGCAAAATATCAGCCTCATAACTGCTACGGTTAAAAAAAACTTCCCGGTACTGAAGTCAAAAAGTGCGATTTTGGCATTCAAAATGACCGCCAGGCGGCCATCTTGGATTCGACAGACCCATGGGGATACATGCTCATACCAAATTTGGGAATTCTAGCTTATACGGTTATGAAAACTTCCCCTGAAAACTAATCTGTCTACGGACGGACGGACGCCAGACGACTTTAGAATGCAATAGCCCATCAAGTGGGCTAAAAATTAAATTACTTTCAGTCAGTATTAAAATATGAAGTGTGATTGGTTTACATGTACCCGGTACACCATACGGACAACATTGTCCATGTTCAGCAGATCAGTATCTCAAGCAGTAGGTGTAGTGTAGGTCTCAATCAGTATGTCAATCAGTAGGTCTCAAGCAGTATGTAGTGAAGTATGTCGCACAACAGAGGTCTATAACAAAAAATAACAGTGAAAATTTAAAGCATTTTGAAATTTATACAACACAAAAATATCTGCTCATGTACCGTATAAACACAATATTATATCCTATTAATGCATAAAATAGCATAGATATGTTAATAATTAAAAGCTTTTAGCAATATAAGATATAGGTAGATATACTACATAACTGAAAGCTTATTTTAATGGTATTTTAATCAATAGGCCTATACGAATATGAATGATCCCGAAAAAAAACACCACTTCAAAACCCTCCTTGGCCTAAGTAGGCCTATACCTGGCCTAGGTAGGTAGTAAGAGTCGAATTAGTGCCTTTGGTGTAGTAATACATAGTTTTGTATATTGGAGCATGGGTAAGGTTAGCCCGCCCAGGCTCTCCGACTGTTACACGTTAACTGTTAACTGTTAACGTAGTGTTAAGCGAGAAGGGAACTTGTGGCTAGGGTAAGGTATAGTCTGCACTACTTTTGACTTGCACTATACTTTGAGCCCAACCAATTCACAGAATCTGCACAAATTTGCAATCCAACAATTTTTACAGGAAAAGTACAGCAGTGTAGGCCCCGTGGTGATGGTTACTATTTTAATAAGCATCTTCATCTTGCCCCATCATGGCTATCGGAGTCATAGGAGGTTGATTTCGGCAATTAGTCACGCCGCCATTTTATGGTATAATTTTTTTAATTCACAAGTTGAAGATTATTACACACAATTATTACCATGCGACAATGAACTACACTGACTAGAATATTGTGTGAATACCGCTCCCAACAATAGATAAAATATTACCTGAATAGATGCGTGATGGGCCGTGATATGAGCCAGAATAATCATGAATAAAAACCGGTTTTCGTGAGAAGACAACGGAAAATTGAAGATAAAGAATGCGCGGGAGTGTAGGTGGCACTGCGATAGGGGTCACGTGACGTCGCAATGAGGAATTTGAGCAAAACGGCATTAGTTCAACTTTGGAGCAATATTTAATTATGATAACTAATAAATTTTTATAAGTATTATAGCTCATTATAATCACTAGACGATCTGCAGCCCGGATATCCGCGCGAAGCGAAGCACAATGACTTATTCGCTGCCCTCTATTTAGAAACATCTTCCCGAGGCCCTCTGGGTACAACAGAAAGCCGCATAATCGGTCAATTGAGGAGTTGTGGCGATTGCATAAGCCTTTCGACTTTGCACGTAGGGCGAAAATAAATCCAAATGCTCGTTTTTGTTGGTGTGTGGCTCGGCGCGCATCCTTTTCCTTGTTTTTTTTTAAACTTGAAAATGGTACGTAGATGGACTCGTTGCGCCATCTATGGGTCGCGATAACTTCCAAATTAATGTCAGGGCATGAACCAGCGAAAAGGGAAAATTATTTTTCTACAGCGCGGTGCACAGTTCGACACGCTAGCGTAACTCACTTCAGTATAGCTAAACTTTATAATTCTCAAAGTACATGAAAACACTGTAAATACACATGATACTTTCTAAATTCGATGTTGAAACTTCTTCTGTCTTCTACAGCGTATTACAGCTTAAATGTCAGCTATTTTCGACTC